TATTTGCATGAATCCTACTCTTTGTTTTCCTACTATAATAATAGTGGTGTATTGCAAATGGTTTATCAGTTTGTCTAAGCAATCCGCACGAGTTTCTAGATGAATACATAGTCGGATACAGTTTTCTTTGTTATCAGGAAGCGTGCTCATTATGTGAAAACATCTCCTCGTCTCCTCTTTTCTCTTCGCTTGTTTGTAATTATGGGATTGACGATTGGCGTAGTGGTATGAGGCGCCGCTATGACCAGGTCGACCCAGTTCGCCCCCGAAGCAGCTAAGCTCATTATTCTCCGAGTAAATTGATACCAGAGCCAGAGTAATCTGCGGAGATAAAAGCACTGGCTTGGTAATCGACTGGCCCCGCAAGTCACTGTGATAGGCTCGCACGCATTCAGAGCCTCTGCGACAATGAAGTAGAGTGCGCTTGCCCGCAGAGTGTTTTTGACTTTTTTGCTTTACAAATGATATCGTTTAGCAGCAGATCCGTTTCTTTTAAGGGCACAATGTCATCATCGATTGAAAGTGTTGTAATCGAAGAGAAACAAGAACCAATTTGAATTGTCTGGATTATTTGTCACATATACACTAACCAGTTACAATCTACTCCAATCTGAAAAATGCAGAAGCGTTCTCCCTGAAGCAGCACATCGGCTTCTTTAGGGACTTGCATGCGGCAGGTTCACAGCTGTTCTAGCCTACAGCAGACACTTTCCTGTCCACCCCCGAAAAACAGTCACAAAGCGAAACGGCGTTGTCCCAAATGGGCTGCTTGGGGTATCCACTTATATCTGTGAGTCTGTTGTAAAGTATAAACTAACCGCTGCTTTACCGTTGTAGGTCGATGAATCTTTACGGCTAGTTGCTGGTGGTGCTATTATAATCATGACTTATAATAACGGGCTAAGGGTTGTTTACGTCTTTTTGTGGGTCTGTGTGTCTGTGTGTCTGTCCGTTACGAAATTCGTAGAACATATTCCAGCCAACCTCCTGAGCCCAAATTTTGCACGGCGCATGCTAGCAGCATGAAAGTCCAATATACAAAAGCGCGAAAATCCATCGAGTGGATCCGTTAAAAATTGCGCGTCAAATGGGTCCACTTAGCTTCTGATCGGCAAAATTGGGCCTGTAGCACCATTGTTTGCAATGTCATGGATATCCTTGACAAGTTAATGTGCAAGCAAAGGACCTCAGCTCAAGAAAGTGAACAAAATTTTATTGCTTTACAAAAATGGCGCCAGAATGTACTGGGTGTGTAAATGTTCAATTTGCCAAGATTTTACTTGATCATTTGTGAAGATTCTTGCACAGAGATGTGGCCCACAGTGATTATTACCATTAAGGCGACTATCAGATCATAAAAGGTCCGAAAACCAGCTCAAATTTGCATTTATTTTTCTGGGAAAAGTTTCATCCATGGGAGATTACCAATCTCACATGAAAAAGCTATAGAAATGAGTAAATATTTACGAATCATTCGTGATAGGCTACATAGCACGGTGAGTTTCAATGTTCATTATTTGGGGAATGAGTAAGGCACAGATTCAGATAGTGGATACCAGTGCGAGCCTCTGCAAAGCAAAGGTGACGCAGGTATATACATAACAGTGCGTCACCTCTGCTTCGCAGAGGTTTGCACTGGCTCTACTATCTATGTGCCTTACTCATTTTCGTAAAATCGTGGCACTGGAACTCACCGCACTATGCCGACTACCACGAATAAAATGTAAACAACCACTCATTTAGAAAATCTTTTCACGTGAGATCGGTGATTTCGCGTGGATGAAACTTTTCGCAGGAAGACAAACGCAAATTTGAATAGGTTTTTGGGTTTGCCATGACTTGGTAGTCGCCATAAAGGTAACGATAACTGTGAGCTACATCTCTGTGCAAAAATCTTCTCAAATGCTTAGCTAGAACCTTGACAAATTGACCATTTACACAACCAATTCGTTATGGCGCCGTTTTCTTTATGTGGTAAACTTTCGACCACTTTTCTGGCTAAACTCCATCGCTTGCACATTTGCTTACCAAACTCATCCACGACTCTGCAAAAAGTGGTGATACGGACCGACTTTTGCGGTACAGAAGCAAGGTGGACCCGTTTGGCGCGCAATTTCTGAGGGATCCACTCAACGAATCTACTCGTGCTTTTGCATGTTGGACTTTCACGAAGGTAGCATGCGCTATACAAAATTTGGGCTTAGAACGTTGGCTGGAACACGCTCCACGAATTTCGTAACAGACAGACACACACACACAAAGTCACGTAAACATCCTTAGCCCGTTATTATAAGTCATGATGCGTCAACGAAGGGCGAACCTCTATTATGATGATTGAAGTTTTGTGATAGTTAACTTCCGAATTTTGACAATGCTATGATTAAGCACAGACAATGCTACTTCTGTTTCTGTATAGCCAAACACTATGGAAAGGTCATAAATTTGTAGAGAATGTTTTCACTGGCCGTTGTGGCCTGTCCGTAATAATCTTATCTTTTTTTGAGAAAGCTAACGAGGAAACAAATGAGTGTGAAGATGTTAAAACCGAGTTTAGCTAAGTGCATATAGCCAAGATCTTGAATCAAAAATGTGAAGTGTTAAGAGCAATGATCCATTTTGATCGATTTATTCGAAGTGGTAGGTTCTGCACACATTTGCTATAGGGGCATGGTCAGTCTCAGCTTGTTGTGGCCAAGGCATCTAATCTGGAGCTGTGCGCCATTTGAAAAAAGATTGAAAAATTAGCAACGGAAACGAGGCAACGCGCGTAGAACAGTAGGAGGCAACTATGGTCTCGATGAAAGCTACTTGCGGCGCAAGAGCTCATCATAGAACTTCGGCCTACAGCGGGTTGAAATTGTAGACTGTGCCGCTTATTCTTGAGGGTTTGAGACTAAAGTCTGAAAATACGGTTTACGTCAATGACCGCTTCTTTACGCTCCCTCTCTGCAGTCTGACCAAGATTGAACTAGGCTTGAAGGCTTTGAGACCTGCCGCATCTGTATTCCATTCTTGGATTTTTTATTTTATTCGTCTAGCATTAACATTCGCGTAGCTTTAGAGACGCATTTTTTTGATCTCGGTATAAGATACGGATTGTTTTTTTAGCTCCATCCTCTCCAAATTGAAACTCCTACTGCAATTTCTGAGTTGTTCCTATTTGCTTTTTAGCACATCATAGGTGTAGCTGCCGTTAGCTCTTTTTCTTCGTAGGCCAAATAATCTGTTCTCAAACAGATATCATTTTAGTCTTGATTCTTTATGGATAACTATAGGTTAGTAAAGGCTGGACAGGATTGACCAACTGTGTTTGATGAACAGTATTTCAATCAAATATATCGGGGGGGGGGGGGAACCCATTGAGTGAGAAGCCTGGGAAGTATTACGAAAGCTACGATTAATAGAAAGGCAAAATAGCAAAATTCTTTAGCGTTTTCGTAGCACCAACTATCATATGCGATCCGCTAACTAAGCACGACGCGGGTGGCATGTGAAAGTGAGACTGCTATTGAAACAAACAGCACGATATTGGCAGGCAGATTCGTTAAGGTTAAAATTTTATGATTCAGATTGGAAATAGTGAAATGGAGCTTAACCAGCAGCCAGAAAACCGCAGACGTGGGCGTCCACGCATTTATGCATCGAATGCTGACCGTCAAAGGATTTACCGCACTGCTGGAGGAGAAGCGCAACGTGCTCTGCGGCGGGATGCAGATGCAGCACGTCAGCAGCTCACGCGGCAGCATGAAGACGCTGAGCATCGCTCTATTAGACGCGAAGAAGATTCGCAACGTCACCGCGAGTCACGTGAATCTGAGAGTGTCACTGAGAATGCTGAACGTCGTTTTGCTAACGCGCAGCTCAACGGAGACGTCGCCAGAACGAAAGCAGTGAGGACCATGTTGGACGGTTATTAGCGGATGCTGAGCGTCAACAAAGACGTCTCCAGAACGAAAACAGTGAGGACCGTGCTGAACGGCTACTAGCGAATGCTGAACGTCAACAAAGACGTCGTCGGAATGAGAGTACCGAGAACCGTGCTGAACGTCTTTCCGCGAATGCTGAGCGTCAGCAGAGGCGCCGACAAGTTGAAAGTGCAGGAGATCGTGAACAGCGTCTATTGGTGCAAAATCAGCGTCAGCAGAGACTACTGCAGAATGAGACGCGTGAGGAGGGCGCTGAGCGCCGAAGAAGGGATGCGATGCGGCATAGACTGCGTCGACTGCGTGAGAACGGAGAAGAAGAAGTAGGTGATCTGCTAGAAAATCCCGAACGTCAGCGAGAATGAAAACTAAGAGGCGTGGGATGCAGCAACGAACATGAATCGTCAGCGTCGTAATGTTGTTCATACCCTCGGAATAGCACTCAGACAGACAATATTACTTCTACAGCCACCGCGTCTCAGTAAATTAGGCGTAAAATCAATTGTGTTGCGTACTTTGCACAACACAATTGATTTTACGCCTAAATCGCCCAAAGTTGGCGTCGTGGTGGAAAAACTTGTTCCTTTTTGTTTTCTGTTTCTGTGCAGGGGGGGGGGGGGGGGGGTGTTGTTTTTCGTTATTTTTGCAGTTCTTATCATTATGCTATGATTTCACTTATCATTCTATGACCAGGAGACGCGAGACCGCATTGCACGCATTGTCAAAACAAACCCAATCGTGTACTTAGCAGGTTTCTACTTGTTATTCATTTCGTCCCGTTTATTCACTCTTTGAAAACAGGGAAGAACAAACTCAGACTTGCTAAGACGATGTCCGCAATACGGTCTCGCGTCTCCTAGTCGAAGAATAGATCATACCTTGACACATGATGCTGAATGCATTCTCCATCCTAGTGCCAACAGAGACGGTCAAGACAGAAGACACCATATTTCAGCTTATTTATTTGATTTTCCAAGCAAAAGCAAAACTCAACAGTATTCGTATAAACTCTAGTCATTAACAACAAAAATCAGTCCTCCTTAAGTGACAGCGAGAATAAAACCTCTACACTGCGGTATGTAATGTTAAATTCAGCATAGAATTCTTTTGATCTCAAAATCAGCCGGTCTAAAGAAGTGTTCAGTATTTGACAGCTTCAGCAATATGGCGAGTAGAAATGCCAAACATATCGAGCAGTTCATCGGGTTTACCAGAACGAGGAACATCATTAATGCATAGAGATTTGACGCGAATGCCATGCTTAGCGACACAAGCGGCCACCTAGAACATTTTGATCAGAAAGATGATTAAAAGAGAAGATTTGCACTTACAGCTTCTCCAATTCCTCCAGCTGGATAATGATCCTCAACCGTAAGGACCGTGCCTCCCGTCCGTTGTGCGTGTTTGACAATAGTAGCTTCATCCAAAGGTTTGATAGTGAACGGATCGATAACACAGCAGTGCATGCCTGATATAGAAAACTTAATTCTGTGGAAGATCGGGCGAACAAGACAGTCAACCCACCCTCTTTCTCAAGATGATCAGCGGCTTTCATAATTTCGTAAATGGTCACCCCGGCTCCGATCAAAAGTATTTTATTGTTCGGTGACTCTTTTAGCACCTAGAATCAAGTTCATTTGACAAGTCGTAGATTAAGTTATTATAAGGAGAACAGTCTCAAGCTGCACCTTAGCCTGTCCAACAGCCAACGGCTTATTGTTATCGTAGAGCACAGGAAGAGCAGGGCGACCAGTACGAATGAAAACGATGCCCTTTATATTGGCTGCTAGTTCAGTAGCTCTCTCAGCCGCTACTGCGTCAGTCGGATAAAACAACACTGTAGATCCGGGCAAAGTTCGGAACAGAGCAAGATCCTCAAAAGCAAATTTAAAGTAAAAGGATGTTGTAGACAAACTGAACCATGACTCCTAAAACGAGATTCTACAAATTTCTTTCAAAGCAACATCCCCACTGAGAATTGATTGAAGAGACACATCCCCTACTGAGCAGTGACTACAGCAACAATCTGGCCTACACAAATCCTCAGATAATAAAAGATTGACGACTAAGCTTCAAATTTGAAAAGAGAGATATAGGTCATACCTCAAGTGCCATTTGACTTGGACCATCTTCACCAGTTGAGACACCAACATGCGAACCTGCACATTTCAGATTTGCGAATGATACAGCAGCATTACGAATCTGATCGCAACTTGAGTGAAGAAAGCAGCAAGTGTGCTGGAAGCAAATCAAGCTAAGGCTTCCGGTTATACACATTTCTAGTAACTTGGAACTAGCAGTGACTCGCACAAGAAATCCGCAATATATTTGAAAAGTGAAATATCAGCCCCTACCTAGTAAAAGGGATCGTTCTGTCTCTACACTGAGCACCAACTGCTACACCGACAAGATTCTGTTCAGCAATGAAACATTCAAAGAATTGGTCAGGATGTTTCTGAAAATGACACTTTTTGAGCTAATATGAAAGTTTTGAAGATGTAAAAGCAACCTATATCAGTTTCTCAGAATACGTAGAATTCTTAGTATCACCATCTAAACCGATAATACGCGGACTAGCATCTCCAATTTAACCAAAGCAGTACCATAGGCGGCTCTTGTGGCTACCTAATAGGAAGAAGCGATATTTTGAAAAGTGAATAGGTAATCCTGACATACTTTGTCGCCCTTTTTGTATTGAGGAGGAGCCATTTTGATGGATCCAACGTGCAAGTCGACCTTAGGGGCATCATCAGTTGGCTTTTGTGCAGCAAGCTTGCCTTTTTGACTTCCTTGCAAACGAGCTTTTATGGGATTGACCTATGATGAATCACACATGCGTTATCTGGGAGGTATACTTTGGTCACACCTTATCTTAAGGAGGTGTAGATCGAAGGGCTGGAATATTGAATGATTTGATAGGAGGTGATCGAAAAATAATTTTAAAAAAACCACGCACTACGCGACAATGCGTGTACTACTTTATGCTTGATGTTCATCTTCCAGCGTACTACAGAAACGCGCGAGATAGTCTAGGCTATTTCATTGAGAGAGTCATAACTCCAGCGACTCGACTCCGCGTCCCCCCCCCCTCCCCCCGCTCTGGCCTTGCGCCGCATTCGTAGACATATCTTTGAGCATTTTCCCTCTCTGAAAGCGATTTGAGACTAGGAAAACCTCAGAGGATATAATCGCAACGACAGCGTAATGCCCGGCGAGACGGCCACGATTGTCCCAACGTTGGAGCTGTGAAACTCACATTGACACAGCCTACAGAATGTTCCGCTACAGTACATCACCTCTTACGTTTTATCGCAAAAACATGTGAAACAAAATAAACAAACAAGACAACATACGCAAAATGAGACCGTGAAGTAAGGAAACTAGATCTTTAGTTAACAAGGAGATTTAATTACCTGGCAGAGCTCATGACACTCGCATTCACTGGCGATATGCTTCCTGAAAAATGGCAAGGTGGCTGGGTGCCTAACTGCTCGATGCTAGAGCTTGGCTGCAGTTACGCTGTTGCGTACGCTCTTCTTCTGGTAGTTGATCGACGAGCTGGTCGAGATCGAACTCGAAATTCTGACAAGACGAGGCACTGACATTAGTAAGCTAGAAAATAAATGGTATTCGCGCTATCTCACCTCGTCTGAGTGATCTGCGCCTGTAAACCAAACGATACTAAACAGAGTAAGGAAAGCCACCAAAACACCTACTGAAACAATGTACTTAGTTCAAGGATCCAATTGAAAGCGTTTCTCTGAATGCTTTCATTCACTCACATAGCGAAAAGGGTAAAAGGGAGGATGAACCAAAACAACGACAAAAGATTGTGAATGATTCAGAAAAACGAGTGTGAGTAATGAGTGCAAATGAGTCGACGCGAATTTCCAGACGTCCGCAACCCATACTGAAGGCACTTTATTAGGTATACTGCCATCGCAGGCGAAAAGGATGGATGGATCTTGAGGACTAACAACTAAACAGATCGAGAAACGTGAGAAATTGGTACAATAGAGAGGGACGCGACGCCTGTGAAAGCAAATTAGTAGGAAGAGATGCACAGCGAAAAAAAACGGCTGCATTATCACCAAAACAACGAAAAACAACATCCCCCTCCCCGCACAAAAACATCAGAAAACAAAAAGAAACAAGTTTTTCCACCAAGACGCCAACTTTGGGCGATTTAGGCGTAAAATCAATTGTGTTGTGCAAAGTACGCAACACAATTGATTTTACGCCTAATTTACTGTAAGACGCGGTGGCTGTAGAAGTAATATTGTCTCAGACAGCGCATGACAACCATGAACAGCTTGGGAGGTCTTGACTATCGTTGCTCACATTGCGGAGCGCTACATTTCGGCTTCGAGGTAAAACAACAACACGCTGATACGTTCGCTGACTGCTGTGACTTTGGACATTTTTCTCTGGATTTTTTCGATGAATTCCCTAGTTTGATACGGGATCTTTTTGGTTGCTACAGCAACGAGAACGCCGTAACAACTTCTTCAGCAATATTAGAAATTTTAACTCAGCTTTAGCCATGGCCTCCATGGGCGCGCAAGTTGATGTGCCGCAGGGTCGAGGACCGTACTGCTACCGAATTCATGGCCAAATATATCATCAAATTGGTCCCCTACATCCCAATCCAGGTGAAGACAGGCAGTACGGCCAAGTTTATGTGTTAGATACTGAGCTAGCAGCACAACAACGCTTGGGAAACGCTTAGAACATGGACTGCGATCCAGGATTGATGATGTGTTTGAGCAAATGGTTTGCCTGTAATAATATCTACTCGCAGTCTTCAAAATGATGAGTGAGGTTGAGAAAGCCGAGGAAGAGTCAGCAAGGCTTGAAAACCGGCAGCCTACCGTGATCAGAATGGTATTTGACGAAAACAGAGAAAGGGGTGTTTCTAAAGGAAGATACGCCGTTCCAACAAGCAATGAAGTTGCCGTCGTCTACGTTGGCGATGACAACGATGTGCCCTCTACTAGAAGCCTCGCCGTTCATTTGCGAAGTTCCGAAGGAAAATCTTTAATGAGAATAAGCGATATCGATAAAAGGTGTGATCCGCTCACGTACTCGCTTTTGTTCCCAACAGGTAGAGGTGGGTGGGATTCAAGTCTAGCGGATCGCAGAGGAGTACGGATTACGCAAATGAAATACTACTCCTATCGTTTATTCGTTGACCGTAACGACTGCTGACCGCGCGGCGACCGCTGCGCGTGCATGATGTTTTCGTAGAAAAGATGAATAGAAAGAAAACAGAGGATTCTTCTCATCTTTATAATGTAGAAAAGAAACAAAGAATTATTCTCATCTTAAGCCACGGTCCAACTTGTCACTTTTTCGCAAGTTTAGAAGGCACGCGTCGCAGTCGCCACGCGGTCGGCAGTCCGTACGGTTAACGAATGAACGATACCTATTCTCAATCCGTGATACTTTTAATCCAATTCTCCACGCAAGAAAGTTATTTCAACAATTTGCAGTCGATGCCTACGTCAAGATTGAGCAAAATCGACTAAATTATCAAAGAACACATCAAGTAGATCTTCGCGCAGACTCATATAGAGGACTGCAAGACTACTTGGCAGGAGATGACAATAGCGGGCCTCCGGGTAAGCGCATCGGCTGGCTTCATCGCATATTGGTAGTCCAAGAGCAATGCAGCAATCGTACCAGGACGCCATGGCGATTGTAGCCCGATTTGGGAAGCCGACGTACTTCCTCACTATGACCTGTAACCCGCAGTGGCGAGAGATCCAGGAGAACCTTTACGAGGGGCAAAGTGCTGCCGATAGACCGGATCTAACCGCAAGAGTTTTTTATGGAAAACTAAGGCAACTTTGTGAGGATCTATTAAAAAATCACCTTCTTGGAGAGGTACAGGCATACGTTTACGTCATCGAGTTTCAGAAAAGAGGCCTACCGCACTGCCATATGCTTATCATTATGAAGAACGGATGGAAAGCAGAAACGGCGACTGACGTTGATAGTGCGGTGTGTGCGGAAATACCCTGCCCAGAGGAAGAGCCGCAAGCATTTGCTGCTGTCACCAGCTTTATGATCCACAAAAAATGTGGTCTTGAAGATCCTAATTTACCCTGTATGCGGAATGGATCATGTTCAAAACATTTCCCAAAGCAGTTACGCGACAGGACTTCTCTGGAGCTCGATGGTTACCCGAAATACAGGAGGAGAAACCGCACCCGTGTTGTTATCAATGGCGTTGCCTACGGTGATGAGTGGGTCGTCCCAACAAATCTGTATCTTATCACAAACTTCCAGTGTCACATAAATCTCGAGATATGTGGAACGAGATATCTGCAGTGAAGTATCTCTATAAGTACATATACAAGGGACCCGATCGAGCTCGAATTACGATTGAAGGCGGTGATGATGGTTCCGCTGTCGATGAAATTAAACAGCATTTGGACACACGCTATGTCTGTCCTCCTCAAGCCCTCTATCGAGTTTTTGGATATCCTATGCAAGACAAATCTCATACTGTGTTTAGATTAGCCGTGCATCTAAATACCGAATATATAATACCCGAATATCAGACTGTTCATTTTGTCGCGGGAGAAGAACAGCGAGTCGTTGATCGCGCTCAAAATCGTTTTACAACGCTCACGGCCTTTTTTGAGTTGAATTTACAAAGTGCGAGAACATTTGACAGAGGCGAACCTTCAAACTTAGAAATTGATGCACGTTCCTACTATTACCACGAGATTCCCGAACATTTTACGTTTTCAACAAGCAACGGATGGAGGCCAAGAAGGCGAGGCTGCAAAGAAATTGGCAGGATATATACGGTATCGCCAAGAGAACAAGAGCGTTATTGCCTTCGCATACTGCTGCTCAATACAAAAGGAAAAAGTTCGTTCGAAGACCTTCGCACAATCGATGGGCATACGTATGCGACATTCTCAGATGCTGCTAAAGCCGCTGGCTATCTCGATGATGATACGTACTATAGGCAAAGCATGGAAGAAGCAGTCCAGTTCCAAACTCCGTCAGCTTTGCGAAGCTTTTTTGCATGTCTGCTCTGCTACTGCGAAGTAGCAGATGCACAAGAGCTTTGGCATGGGTTTGCAATTGCGATGAGCGACGATTATCTACATCAAGGATTAGGCGAAACAGAAGCTGTTGCCATAGCGTACTTTGATGTGGCAAATAAAATGCTACTTCTAGGAAGAGACTTGCGGCAAATGGTGACACCTCTAGCAGACCAACGTCCTCAAATTCCAATTGAGGCGATAGATTATGAACGACACCGTAGCGACGGAGCACGCATGTACGAGACGTTGAATCCTGATCAAAAGAACGCCGTTGACGATATAATCGCAGCTATGGATCGTGATTTCGAAAGATGTTTTTTCATAGATGGCCCAGGAGGTAGCGGGAAGACTTACATATACACAGTTCTTTACAATTTAGTCGTAGCGCAGCGCCGTCGGGTGCTTTGTGTAGCCTGGACTGGCATAGCCGCTAATCTTCTTCCTGGCGGACGAACCGCAGTCTCGGCGTTCAAGCTTAACATGGCTGACGGCAATCGTTCGTCGCTTCTAAGAAGGCAACAGAAAGAGGCCCGCGATCTAGCAAGCACTGACGTCATCATTTGGGATGAAATATCTATGGCTCCCAAATGCTCGCTTGAAACCGTTGACGCCCTACTTCGTGATGTCATGCAAAATGATAAACCGTTCGGTGGAAAACGATTTATTGTAGGTGGGGACTTCCGCCAAGTTTTGCCAGTCGTTGAACATGGCCAGCGGGAAGACGTTGTTGCGGCATGCGTCACCAGATCATCTTTGTGGCAGCTATTTAAGACTTATCGCCTCCGAAGAAGCATGCGCGCTCAAAACGCAGGAAATGACTGGCACGAGTTTCTCTTAGAATTAGTAAATGGCCGCAATAGCACCGCAGATGAACGTGTTGCTTTAGAAGAACATATCATTTGCACCGGCAACATCGTCACAGAAATTTTCGGCGAAGTTATTGATGCGCAAGAAGCTCTTTACGATAGAGCAATTTTGGCCCCAAAGAACGTAAATGTAAAACAACTCAATGAAGACGTAATGCAGCGCTTGCGGGTGGGGACTGAACAAGAAGAGAGAGTTTACAGAAGCATAGATGATGCTATACTTCATGCCGGAGACTCCGAATCTTACCCGGTTGAATATCTAAACACGCTAGAGCCATCCGGTATGCCGTCACATGAGCTGAGGTTAAAGAGGGGCGCTATAATCATGCTTCTACGCAATCTTGACGTTACCAACGGCCTTTGTAACGGGACACGGTCAAGAATTGAGACTTTAGGACGTTTCGTCTTAGGTTGCCGATTTATCTGCGGGGAGCGTAAGGACCAGCTAGCCGTAGTACCAAGAATCGACAATTACTACGACAAGCAGTTACCTTTTCGATTGAGAAGGCGGCAATTTCCCGTTAAGGTTGCTTTCGCTATGACGATAAATAAAGCACAGGGGCAGACGTTCACCAAAGTCGGTGTATACCTCCCCGAAGACGTATTCACCCATGGGCAACTCTACGTCGCCTTCTCCCGAGTCAAATCTCCAGAAGGTTTGAAAGTATGTACTCCTGTAAGAGCAGTAAGAAAAATCGTCTATGAAGAGGTACTGCTTTAAGAGATGACTGAGCAGATGTAGACGCAACGTCACAAATTTCTAACAAAAAAGATCTTCTTGGTATCTAACAAGATGGGAAAGACGCTTATGTCTTCAAAACCATTAATTAACAGTTGTTTGAAAGAATGTGAAATCAATCTAACCTGCAACATGCGGTTTCTGTAGAACCTAAGAGGAAGAGGTTCTCGAAAAGAAATATTGAAAGTAACAGCCCTTTACTCACGCGATTGGAAACGCACTTAGTGAAGGATACTAAAC